AAAAAAGCCAGTGATTTTGTGGCATTTTAACGAGCCACCTGGCGTTTAACTGACGGAAGGACCATTTTGGTACCAAAAATGAAAGTTCAAGGATAATTTTGGTACTTTTTAAAGCTGAGGGACAATTTTGGTACCAAAGTGATAAGTTGAGGGACTAAAATGGTACTTAAACCTTATTATTATTATGAGTTAAGGATTATTTACATATAAATTTTACATATTATCTTTACGGTAAAATGTGCATCAGTCTTACCTTCCAAAAAAATTTGGAGTCCCAACCAAAACGGCGTTTGTTTTCTCAAAAATCCTCTAGTAGCCTCGCATGTGTGAAATCTAGATGTGGGCGTGCAACTTATTTTGCTAAAAGTAAGAAAGGAGGACTTTCCCAACGACCCTCTCCTTCCTTATGGTCGACCTCTTTGCAGATAGCGGGAAGAACGTTGGATTAAAATGAAATTTGCACCTGCAGACGATTTGCAAGAGGAAGAGATACATTCCTGCAGAATGGGTTACGAAATCTGCCTTGAACAACTCCAATGACTTAAACACTACCGTGACTTAAAATTAACAAATCCTAATTGAACTAAATAAACTACAATTTATAATAAATTTGCGAGAAAAAGCTGTACCCAAATTAAACTAAACATGTTCATTGTTAAATTAAAATGTTATGTACTGGCAGATCTGGAAATTAAAATGCTGCAGAATTAAAGACTTCATCCTAATTAACATTAAAATTAACGTGAACAGTAATTAAACTATCATGCTTGAGGTTGAAAAGAGGTATGAATACCACATAAGTAATCATTGAATAAAATGCTACTTATCATAAACATTAAATTAATTGCAAATGGAAAGAGAACAATACCTTGCATAAACTTGAAAGATTGAAGTTCATTGCATGAAAGAAAATTGTTGAACTGAATACATGAATTAATTTGCCTAATGGAATGATGAAAAACAACCTAATTCTACTGGAATATGTGCTGAAATTCGAAATTTGGAAGCATGTGCAGAGAAAATGAAAGTATGAAAATTTGCAAATGTTTGAGTAGGGCTGGCCGTGTGTTCTTCCTTCCAAAATTTCCTTTTTGTTCTCCTTGTGCCTGCAATAACTTCCACTTTTTGCAGTTACTCAATTATGGGTGGTTTCTTGAACTAGTGGGACAGCTCACCCTTTGACCTAGTCTAATCTCCTTACAAATTTCGCTACCTATACTCTTATCAGATAAAACCCCCTTTTTAACTACAATCTTCTCCTATTTTTTAGCTTCCATTATCCCTTTCTATCTCAAGAAGATAATTACTCCATAAAAAATTATCTTTACCTCTCCTCTTTTGCCAACACAAGTGCTGATCTGTCATTGGGCCCGGAATCCAAATCTGACATGGCTCAAGCTCCTCCAACCAATAAAAAATATTTTACATGTGACATTAATTTAAAATTTTGCAATTTATGGTGTAAACAGCGTTGTTTTCTTCTCAAAAATCCAGCCATGCTGTTTGTCTTTTCTCTCAAAAATCCAACCCCTGCTCCTTGCCTCCTTCGATTCCTTCAATTTTTCACTCAAAAAACCTACTAGTAATGTTGCCCCTCTGTAATTATCTCCATCTCTCCCTTTTCCCCTCATGTGAGGTTGAGGCGATTAAAAGCCAAGAGACATAACCATGCCTCCTAACGAGCTTGAAGTACCATAGAACCAAAGAAATCAAGATTTATGTTTCTTTGTCACACGAGCTTAAGGGAGTTGCGAACCCATTTATTTGGGTTTTGCAAGGTTGGTGCTATGATTGTGGTTATAATAGTGTTGAAATTGAATGATGAGAATTGAAATTGCAATTTTAGTTATAATAGAGAAAACCCAGATCTGGGTTTCTTTTCTAAGTTTGTTTTTGAATGGTCTAGCCATAGTTGCTTCCTTCATTTCCTCTCATTTCCATATAGATTTTGGAAACCCAAATCTGGGTTTGTTAATTTATTTTAAATGGTCTCCATCTCCTTTATTTTAATTCATATCCATATAGATTTTGCTTTCTTCAACCCTTGCTCCTCACCTCCTTTGACAATCATCTTCGTCTCCTTCTTCACTCTTCTACAATCATCTCAATCGCCTCCTCATCTCACAGACTCCTCTGATTCTTTCAATTTTTCAAACACAATCCCAAGTCGCCGACCCAACTTTGTCGTTACAATTCATCATCTCCGATAATCGAAGGACGATAAGTGCTTTGTTGGGTCTTTTTTTTTTTTTTTTTTTTTAAGTTTTCAATGATTGCAGAGGGGGCGAAAAAGGAGATAAAGATGATTGTAGAGGGGGTGACAACAAGGGCTGGGTTCTTAAGTGCAAAATTGAAGGAATCGGAGGAGGCGATGCTGGATTTCATTTGCATAAGTTTAGGGAAATCGGTAGTCCTTATTCCTATTATTTCCGGAATTGTGGTCCCTTTGCTTCCTTCTTACAATCCTCATAATTTGTTTGGCACTTTGTTCATATTGGAGATGATGAAGATGATTGTAGAAGCGACTTAAATGAGATGGAGATGATTGCAGAATAGGCGAAGAAAAGCTAGGCTGGAGATTAAGAAACGACATCGTTTTGGTTAGAACTCCAATTTATTTTTGGGAGGTAGGATTGATTTGCACTTCTCCGTTATCTTTATATAAAATTTTAATTTTTTATTATTTATTTTTAAATATTAAAATTTATTTATATTTATTAAAAATA